GAACAAGGATGATACACTTGTGTAATGGCCAACTAAATGAGGAAGTAGGACTATGTCCAATTCCTTAGATTAAATCAACACATTAAACAAAACAAATATAGTTTCAAGTAGATCAGTTAATACAGGGTGCTTGACGAAAATTGCAAAACGGTGTATTTTGTTTATTTTTGTTAAATTTAATGAAAAATAAGTGAAAATATGCGAAAAGAGGGAACAATAGGTCTCTTTTTCAAATAACTCCTACTCCTTTTAAAATAAAAAAATTCGAAAAAAACTTTAAATTTTTAACTCAATTTATTTTGGTTCCATATGGCCGGCTCTAGTATGAGTTCCATAATGGCCTTCAAACTACCAATGAAGCTGTCGCACGCTGCGCGCAAATGGATTTGCGATATTTTTTAGGGCCAACCTTACTATTAAAAATAACTCAGACCTAGAAATCTAAAGGGTTTATATCAAGTGAAGAAGGTGGCGTCTATGTTTATGGAATAATATAATATAGAAGTTCTGACTCAATCAGTACAAAAGAATATTAAGGATTGGAAATTCTGCCAATGCTCCGAAAAATTTGCATAATTAACATATACGAGTAAATTAAATTCAACATATTTCGTTTTTACGCTTATCAGACATTTAGCTACATCTATACTCTTTATTCTATATTTTGTTGAACCTTTTCCAAGTTAGTACATCTGGCCACCCATTTCACTGACTAATTTGAGTATTCCTCATAATCTTCGAGATTATTCAATGATTAATCTAAGATCTGCGTATCGCCCCGTGCGGTTAGTGATTACTCTGAGATTAGATAGTGCTAAGTAGGGCGGCCTATCGGTTTTCGCATATAGCTTCAGGGCTCTGTCCCTTATGTATTTTTTGACCGGCTATATTTTAAAGTCTCTTAGCATGTCATTCGAGAGGACCATAGCACTTCGAAGAGTCTTCGAGGAGCCTGACTTTGAGCAACTTGTTTGGAACATTCACAAAAGAGATTATTTATTATTTCAATTTCCGCTTGTGTGTGAGTAAGGAACTACAATTATCTTGCATGTCTACTTGTCGTACTCGATGGAGTATCTCAAGTTGCTCTTATGCCAAGAATTATTTATGTTTTTAGTATTTATATTGTTTTTTTAGTTGTAAAAGTACGAATAGCCACGTATTTCCTAGAATCGAAAGGGTTAACTCTCAGTTCACATATTAAAAATTTGTTCTTTGGTTAATGGTTATGAAATTTGTATTTATTCTGTTACTTCAAAGTATTTAACACATACTATTTTTTTCTTATGATTTACAGTTTTATTAAAAATTTTTGTCAAAACACAAAATTCCAAACTAACAGAATTTACAGGTAAAAATTACACGCACATCCGCCGCATAATTTTCAATAAAACTTCTAGTATCTCTTCTTTCAGTTGTATCTTCTTTACACATGTCACCAGATAGCTAAGTTCTAAGCTTTGGTCTGTGTTCGCAAAGCTAAGCTTAAACGGAAGTGATTATTATTAATTGCGTTTGTCTAGCGATTCTTATATATTTTTACATTTTATTTTATTTTATTTTTAATTTTGTTTAATTGCTTCCGTCTGTTGGCAAGCACCGGATCGAGCTGGCGAGCTGGCGAGCTGTCTTTATTTTGTTTCTAGTAACTGGTTTTTATTTCTAGAACTGTTTTTATTTTATTACATTTTTTGCACATTATGGCTTAATCTTTTAATTGTGTGTGAGAAATATTAAAAATAAAACAATTATGTAAATATTTCACACCTCACAATTTCATATAAATCCCCTACTAAATCGATTTCATTGTACTTAAGTAACTTAAGTAACTAAACAGTATATTTAAGTTTACTTACAATCCTAAGATCATTTTGACGTCTTTCTGAGGTTTTAGTTCATCATCTATTGCTCATAAGGCTACGACACATTTGTACAAGGCTTAAGAAATCGATTTATCGGCAAAACAAAAAAGATTTTTAAGGAATAAGTTCGCAAAGAAGTGTGCATGTACTCCTTTCATTGGGCCAGAGCCCTTCTGCAGGGTAACAAATAGCTTCACAAATAACTTATTATGTGAACGGGAGAAACAGCATCTACTTGAACACTAAAGAGCCCAAATAGACATGCGACAGTCAAAAAGATTCATTGATCCTGAACACATCAAAGTTGATGCTATCAACCTTAGCAGAAATGATATCAAAATCTACACTGAACTTCTTACAGGACACTGTAGACTTAATTACCACATGAAGATTATAGGTGCGGTGATTCCTGTCGACTCTGTCATGAGAAGAAGGAAACATCAGAACATGTTCTATGCAACTGCCCAGCGGTGGCAAGACGTAGACTCGATTACCTTGGTAGCAGGATCCTGGTCCCAAATCAAATAGGTAAAATTAAGCGCACTGTAATTATAAGATTTATAAATAGTCTAAAATTGTCCTAGTTGGGCCTATAGGCGCACAATAGATCTTTTAGGTCGGGGTGCACAAATAGCCTATTTAAATAATAATAATAATAATAAAATAAGTTCACTATGACTTAACGTGATGCCAACTTTTCTGATCATTTTCTTATAACCAAATATTTATGAAAAATATATTCTTATAATATGAGATATTTTTAAAAACTAAGAGTTTAGCATTGCTAAGTCATGTTAAGAAAGCATCAAAGAAATCCATCTTATGGATTTCAAGCGGAAAATTACACGTTAATTATAACAAAATCAAGAAAATGCTTACAGTTTTCTTTGATTCAAAGAAAATTGTTTATGGTGTTAGTTCTTTATCCCAGAAGGAAACATATAAGGAAACAGTTAGAAAACATATATCATTTGTAAGTTTTACAACGATTGCGAGCAAGATTTAGATAAGTGTTGCCGCAATATCGAGAGACAGATAATTGGATATTATTGCACTATAATGCATCATCGCACAAATCTATTACGGTATCTATCACTGATTCCAGAATATCCATCGTATTCACCAAATTTGGATTTTTTAGTAGTAAAGTAGTAAAGAATTACATACATGTGATTTTCTAAATCTGTAAAATCAAATTACAAAGCCAACGGTCTCAGGTAGAATAATTTGTAAATTAAAGATTATAACATCTTTTCACCTGAAAAATTCCGAAAAATTCTTCTGTATCACAATATATATACACAATATATATATATATATATATATTTGCTTTGTGACTGCAGATTTCTTTTTCAGATTTAGTATTTATTATCTTATTTTTTTGTTGTTCTTTCCTAAGTTTTTTTTATCGATCTTCAAAAAGTACCAGATAAATAATATATATAATGTACATATATATATAGATATATATACTTAAACTTAGTTTTAGAACCGCGAAATGGACAGCTCTGTACATTACTTCCATTACTAACGAAACAGATGCACTGCTTAATTATGTTATGTATCTATTTCTACACTTCTCAATAATGTTACAATTCTAAAAGTTTTTTGACCTTACATTGGAATACTCTCACTTTCTATTCTTCTTCCATCTGACTAATACTGGATTCACACGACAGTTTTGTTTGTGATTTTAGCTGTCAATTGTTGTTGCTTTCAATGCAAAATAAAAAATTTTTGACAGCCACAATTACAAACAAAACTGTCGTGTGAATCCAGTATAAGCTACTGATTTGTGTTAATATATGTAGGGCTTCCGGCTTCCGAGAGTGTTGAAAAATACTAATTACAAAAAAATATTTAAACTATTCAGATTTCAAAAACAAAATACCGCTTGATGTTTCTTACTTAAGATAACATAATTATATAAAATTTAATTACTTAGTACAAAAACGTTTAATAATAATCTTGTTTTTTAATAATAAAACAATATAAAACAATAAATTATTACAGAAATGTTTATAAAGAGATTTTTCGAAAATTAGTGAACTACAACAACAAAAATTCTTTTTTATATTATTTTAACCCATTAAGTATCAAACCATTGCAGAATAGAAATTTTACGGTTAAATTTTTATAGTAAATACTAAAATAAAACAAGTTTAAGTAAATGAAAAAAGTTTAATATTTATTTGAAAGATTACTCTCACTCTCATTTCACTTAAAACAATATAAAATATTCTTTGCATATTAAAAAAAATCCAAAACTAGCCGGTGGTCAGAAATGGGTTAATTAATTTGGCTAACCATACAGTTGTTTCGAGTATTGCAAAATACCCATCATCAGTGGTCTTGGAATTAACTCTTGTATTTAATTAGACTGCAAGTACCAAGGGTTGAACTCGTACCCTTCAAAATTTGAAGCTCAGAGTTAATGTTCATTAGCCAACTGACCCAAAGCCGTACTTGACTTGTATGTTCGAATTTGGAGTTTGGTTTATTTTTTGTGAAAGTTCATTAACAGTCAGTACCACTTCAGCATTTAAAAACGTTATTCGAAACAATAACTGTAGGTCCAACATATACTGGTATACCATATGCTCGTTAAAAAATATGTATCTTTCTTATCATGTTATGCGTTGTTTAAACTAAACTTCTCTCTATTTATAATCATCGGTTTTAGTTGCTCAATTCAATTGAACATTATTCGATTTTTAAAATATGTTTATATTGCTATAATAAGACAATTATAAAAAGTCCAAGTCTTTTTAGATAATTTGCGAGTATTTAAATTCAGAAACGAACAAATGGTAATGTAAATATATATATATTTCATGAATGGATGTGGTACTAAAAATCCCATTATGTGAAAGCGACTTGCTTTGAACTCCACTATAAAGAGAGGTCTATTTTATAAAGACATCGCTCTAATTGCTTAATAAATGTGTGACGTGACTTATTCAAAATTTATTGAAATATTAAAATCAAAATTTATATGAAGACGAATATGAGGACGAGTACAAGAACTTCATCTCTAAATCATCTGATTTACAGAGATCGAAACAGATGGCGAGGTACGTAATTATCTTATAACAACGAACAATACTGGTTAAACCTTTTCTTATGGAAACGAAGTACTTACATTTGTTTAATTAAACCAAAAGTGCACGTTTAATTTTTCCCGTTTTATATATAAGATAAAATTGTTTTAAATATCAAAAACTTCAAAAATTTTATATTTAATTGTTTCCTCCTCAAAAATTATATTTGCAATTCGTGTTCGAGATTTGTTATTTGTGATTTGTGGTCTGCAAATAAACATACGAAAACTAGTTAGATATATTTTCTAATTTCTACATTTAAAATTAGAATACATTCAATACGTAGAACTTCTTACTTCTTACCTAGTCAAAATGCTCCGTTGATTAATAAGGATTCATCAGGGTAAGTTTGATCATACATAGATATTAGTCCAAACGCGTGGGTGGTCGGTCACACGTTCGATTCTGTTTTGAAAATATCCAAACCATTATATTTGGAAATAAAAGAAAATCAAAACTTCAAAACTTCAACTTACCATCATCTGGAATTATCGATATCGGCTGTTATAAGCTTCCATGTAAGATCCTTTAATGTTCGTCAATTAAATAAACCATATGGATTTTGATAATAACTCACAAAACTGAAAAACATATTTAATTCAAAATAATAAAATATCTGATATAAGAACAACTATATAATACAATAAACACCATTTTATCATTTTTATCCTGATCATTTTGTCAGGAATTACCTACGATAAGTTAGAAGCAATTACCATAATGTCATGAAGAAGTCATTTATTTCGCCAGTTCACAGCTCACAGTTCACTTGAGAATTTTATTAACGTAAACCTTGTAACGGTTAAGCTCGTCATTTCTGTGCAGCGCGGATAGTTCCTTTTAACATCATCGTTTAAATATGAGTGTTTATTTTTTGTTTTTTTTTTATCAAATCCAATATGATTATGAGTCCAAGTCTAGTAAAATATTTTTCTATTTAGGTATAGCATTAGAATTTATATCACTTCGATTTGCTTTAGATGTCTCCATTATCTCCATTCGAGTGAGGCGACTCTGGAAAGAGAGTTAAGTAATAGAGTATGTTCTTAAAATATTGGTATATACGAATATGTGGGGGTACATATGGGTGATGTGTTACAATTTGTGTGATATGTACCGATATAGCAATTATTATGGATGTAATTTTGTTATATTGTAATTTTTTAATGTAGTTTTAGAATGTTAAATATATTATAAATTTGTTAAGATTCCTATAACTATAAATGTTATGTAAATATTTTCTAGCTTATTTATGTAAAAATCAAATTCCAAATATGCAATGATTTTTTAAATGAATAAATCCTTAAAATCTCAATTAATCTAAAGGGAATGGTATCCAAAAATATTGCTTTTATAATATTGAAATAACCTTAATGAAAATGATTAAAAATCTTGAAAATGCTGAGTTTAGTTAGTTACTCAGTTTCTTGCGATCTTCGAGTGAATATAACTTTGGAGTTTTTGTTGAAAAAGTGTACTATAATTTTTAATTGAGTTAGAGTGTATTAGATGGGCACTACGTATAATACAATTAAACGCCATCTAAAAACACACTTAACGCTACTACAATTGAAATTTAGATGAAAGTTGAATACGTTCTTTTGGATTTGTTGTTATGAGAACTATTTCTCTTAAGATGGATAACAAGAATTCATCTCACCTAACATGTAACCCATGTAATCCTCTCTGATAATAAAATTCAGGCGGAGTGGTTAGAGAAACAGACTAATTTCCGGCTTCTTCAGAAGTGGTAATTCGACAAGTCAGGTAACTTAGATGGATTTAGTTTAGTCATTGAACATTGAATAATACTAGAAGTAAAAGAACTCATCAATTAATATACGCTATACATTAGAACAGAGCTTACCATAATGTCCATAGACATTATTATTCATTAGCTTGTAGTGTCCACACAGCTCGTTGTGTATATATTTTAAGTAACGTTCACAATTTTGTACTTTTACACTATTAATTTTGAAACATTATGTAGAAAGCAAAAAATAAATATAAAATACAATAGAAATGTGTTTGGGATATTGATTTTTTTGAATTTTCAAAGCTCACTATATCAAAATATTTAAAAGTAAAAAATTTAACTGAACCTTAAATATACATATATATGTATATATATATATACATATAGAAGAAGCAAATTTTTATTGATAGACTCAAATAAAATATTTTTAATATCAATAATTATCCAATAATAACTTATTATAACATTAACTTACTGGAAGAGGAACTCCAAGTAAATTATGTGTTAAAAACGCAGTAAAAGGATATGTAGTCTAAGTATAAAAATTAGATGACATAATCTGGTATATACTATGTCTAGTATAAACAATCATTGGATTTAATCGTGCCGAAGCGGATCAACTAATTGAGAAGTATCGCTCTCACAAACATATGTACGTGTATGTAACATAAAAATATTATTTTGACGTTTACATTATTGTGTATACCTTGGCTAATCGAGACTTAACTTAAACTCATCAGTCAAATATATCAAAATGTATAAATGAAATGTCTTTCTAGATATGAACTATGCATAGTTAAAGAACTATGCCGTTCCTGAAATTCAAAAACACGATGAATTTTTATTAAAAAGTGCTAGTAAAGGAACTGCATATATAATATACATATGTTGAAATTTAAATAAGAGAATAAAGATAAATTAGACAACGAGTCAACCTAGCAGTAGAGGTGATATTTTTATTGTTTTATATGACTGTGACATCTTGAATACATACGGAAACACGTAAATAAAGTAAATGGAGTGAATATATTTCATTCGATCTTAACGAAGAGTTGTGAAGCAATCATTATCTTTGAGATGGCTATTGTTGAATTTTACACGTAATAGTAAGATCTGAGGGATATATTGGAAAATAAATTAAATCTTAGTCAGAAGTTTATCTATTTGGATTGAATTTGTGAACCACGAAATGGATAACTCTGCATGAAACTTAAGATTTTTATTTTAGTGAAGAAGGCTAATATATTTTGTTTATTAGATTGATTTTTAACGTCCGTTTTAACGAAAAAAAGTAAATTCTTAATATAATATAAACTATTGTGTTCAACAGATAGGTTTTTATCGGACAGTGAGAATCACAACAAAAATTTTTAATTATTTTTTTAATTAATTGAATTATGGCTGACCATACAGCAGTGGTGTTTTAATTATTTCTCATATTTAATTATTCGTAAATAATTTTTTGAGGCTAAAAGTACCAAGGGTTGAACTCTACCCTCCCAAATTTGAAGCTCAGAGTTAGTGTTTATTAGCCAACTGACCCAAAACCGTACTTGACTTGTATGTTTGAACTTAGAGTTTAGTTAAATTTCTGTAAAAGTTCATTAATAAATTCACTTGCTGTGTTACATATTGGAACACAATCATAAAACAGCTGTAGAATAATTTAATTAATTAATTATATATTTATTTTAATTGTTAAAATTCAATACTATTCGGTTTGTAGAGGCATTAGTTGTTACATGCCTATGAAATTTTTATTACACAAAAAAGGTTCAAACTAAACATGTTCCGTTTTATAATAAAAAATACAGAGAGAAAATTTTTCACACAGCTGCGTTGGTTTGTAGCAACATGTCGCCGCATTCTTGTCAACATGCTGCAGAGTTCAAAAACTATCAACATTTATGAATGCTGCCTGACAAAATACGCTAAACGATTTATCTGTTTTTGAAGAATGTATACATTTTATATATATCTTTATATAAGTATACAAAGAAATAAAAGTTTATTTTAATAAAAAAATATCAAAATATGATCACGAAATCAAATTCATTTCATAGCACATCATTTTGAGTTAATGGAAAAAGAACTCAAATACGTTCTGCTCAAAAAGTACTCGGATTTTGTAAATAAAACACACAAATTGAAATTTTATTCCAAATTTATTTTATCTCCTTCAAAATATGCTCTGTCTGAAGCGATACACATATGCCAAAGCTGAACTCAATCTTCCATACACTTTTCGTAGACCCCGTACGATTCAATCGACTCAAAACGCTTACCACGAAGGGGCAATTGGAGTTCCGGGAACAGGAAAAAGTCGCACGGCGTCAGATCTAGTGAATATGGTACCTGAGTGATCTTATTCGACTTTACTATGCCGATGAAAAGTCTGATAAACTATCAAAGAAGTATTTTCCTAAGAACCTATATCTTCTGGACGCCAAAATCGGACATTCACAAAAAAAATGTATTATAAGGTCTTTCTCCTGCGGGTTTACACAACTGCAGTTTTATAAAGTCCTCTAATTTTTATTCGATCATCATATAATATCACTTGCTATATATTTTTCTTTTAATCAGAAAAGAACAATATAAAAATATTGTTTACAATTATTTCCTTCATTTTAGGATACAAAACAATTATAGGATAGAAAAGAGTAGAAATTAAGAGGGTACCGTCTCCTAACGGAGCACTGCGACCACAGTTTATATTTTGTACTGCTACAGACCCTAACCGAACAGAAGACATTGCACTCTTCGAATGAAAGCTGATGTCGGAAGGGGAAAGTAGTTGCCCAGTGACTTCTTGCAGGCCCAGACTAAGGCTAGACAGACAGAGAATTTGACTGAAAGTCTCATCTGCTTTAAGCAAAGTCGATTAGATTAGATTAGATTAGATTAGATTAGATTAGATTAGATTAGATTAGATTAGATTAGATTAGATTAGATTAGATTAGATTAGATTAGATTAGATAATTAGATAATTAGATTAGATTAGATTAGATTAGATTAGATTAGATTAGATTAGATTAGATTAGATTAGATTAGATTAGATTAGATTAGATTAGATTAGATTAGATTAGATTAGATTAGATTAGATTAGATTAGATTAGATTAGATTTGATTAGATTAGATTAGATTAGATTAGATTTGATTAGATTAGATTAGATTAGATTAGATTAGATTAGATTAGATTAGATTTGATTAGATTAGATTAGATTAGATTAATTAGATTTGATTAGATTTGATTAGATTTGATTAGATTAGATTAGATTAGATTAGATTAGATTAGATTAGATTAGATTAGATTAGATTAGATTAGATTAGATTAGATTAGATTAGATTAGATTAGATTATTAAATTATTATTATAATTTAAAAAAAAAATTACTTCGACATAAATTGTTAAAAATAAAATCAATTCAATTCAGTCATAGTAAAATATTTATTTCTCTTCATTTTAACAAAAAATTTCGGTTCGGACGATGGAAAAAAATATTGTCCTTGACGAAATCAATGAGGGATTTTTAAATTCAAGTGAATTAATAATTTTATTCATAAATGAGAAATGCTTCTAATTAAATAAACCTGCCATTTGATATTACTATTACGTGATGTCATTTTAGGTTCGTTTTGAATTAGTTTTTGTTTTTTTTTTGGTAACATTACACCATAAACTTTAACAAATTTATCACTTCAATTGTTGCAATTAACAATTTTGCCAAATTAAGTACGCGAATCAAAAAATTCGGTCAAAATCATTTATCACTTAAGATTTATTGATAAAAGTATTAATAAATAAATAATTGGAAAAATTTTTTGCCCACCTTAGCAAGCAAAAATTTATAATTTTTCTATGAAATATAAATGTATAAAAAATATTTAAATTCATATTAATGAATTGAAAATGGGAATATGCCAAGTCGCTAAATGTCTCAGCAACTGCGACTGGCATCAACCAAAGTATCTTTGTGACTTTAGCACAACTAATAGTGCTAATAATAATGATATCAGCACCAAACAATGAAACTCAATTGTCATTTCGTACCAAAGAAATCGCACTTAACCCAGTGCCCGCAACAGCGCAACAGACTAATCAGGCGAAGCCCCGGCAACAATTCCGATTCAAGTAAGTTTAATTGAGAAAAATGTGCGCAGGCGTACGCGAAGCGAAATTCGGAGTTGCGTTCACATTCGCTTTTATTTACTCACAACCCGCCTAACGACGAGCGATTGTTTATGGTGCAATTTCATTTTGCGGTCGGGCTTGACGCAAATATCGCTTAACCCCGCCGGTAATTGAAAGTACACATGTACATTTACACGAGCACCAGCTCTAAGCGTTCAGGCGTTCAGGCATTTGTTTTTATTACATTGACCCACGTACCGGTGCCAGCGAAGATTGGCTGGAGTGCTTTGAACCTTTGTGCGTCAATACGAATTCGTATAAATTGTAATTGTGGAGACAAACGACAAGTATTATGCATTTTTATCTATTCAATTTGAGTGTAAGTGTAACAAATATTCAATTTCAATTGTAAGGCAAACACAGCCGTGTCCGCGGCATGCAGTTTTTTCGGTCTATGAATATCTAAACTTTTCTGTTTTTATTTTCAGGATCTCTGCAGAGCTTTCGAAACTTTCGAAATAAATATCATTATTGAATTAAGTTTGTTAATAACTTCAAATATCTGAATAAGGTATTTTGCACGAAACCCAGCCATCAATAATAGACTCAGTTTTGAACTAATTAAATCGACAAATAGGCCCGCAGAATAATGTAGCGAAAAGATTTAGTTAAAATTATTCAAAAACCTTCCTGTTATTTTTATTTTTATTATCCCTTTTTTATTTTACTCTTTTTTGAATTAATGGAATAATTGATATCTACAAGGTATCCAGAAGGTATTATATTAAAAGACTTACTATCAGCTTTGCACAACAAATATAATAATTTGCCTATCATAAAAGTTAAATAATATTAAAGGCTATTCGACAATAATGGGAATTATAGGAAAAGCTGCACACGTAGTTGTCTTTGACAATGTTAGCTTTAAATCAATCGAGTGAGTGGTAGTTTTCCTTTATGAAGGACCAACACTATCTATATTGGATTAAGACAATATTTATGCTACAACATATTACAGTAAACTTAGGCACTACTATTCAATAAATGATAATGAATGGCACTAAATAGTGTCCACAAAGTAGCTACCAGTCCCTA